AGCGCACCGTTCCTTCGCTGCTTGAACATTTTCCACTGCCTCCGCATGTGGACTTTTCTAAACCCTTCTAGTCCGTAGGAACCCTTACCTGCGGATTTCAAGTATCTTTATCATTGCCAATCATGGCCTTTTTACAGTGGAATATACGCGGCCTCAGGGGTAATCGGGGTGAGCTTCAGATGTTACTCTCCCAGTTTGCCCCTGTTGGTGTTTGCTTACAGGAACCAAAATTACACTCTGCTGTTATTTCTCACATCTCAGGCTATAATTTATTGTATTCTTCAGATCCTTTTCCTGATGGGACCTTTAATGAAAGTGCCCTTCTTCTCCGCACTGATATTCCGTACCATCAGCTATTTATTCATACTTCGCTGCATTACACAGCAGCCCGTATCCACTTACATAGGTGGTATACGCTCTGTTCTTTATATCTCTCTCCTTCTCGGGCATTATCTATTCCGGATTTTGCCTTCCTTGTTTCGTCATTACCGCCACCGATTCTGTTACTTGGTGATTTTAATGCCCACCATTTCCTCTGGGGAGGGTCTCACTGTGATTCCCGTGGAATTCAGTTAGAGGCTTTTCTTGCCACCCACCCCCTCCATGTTTTAAATACAGGTACTCACACCCATTTTGATCCTCGGACTCATACTCTCTCTTGCATAGATCTCTCAGTTTGCTCTTCCTCCGCCGCATTAGACTTTACTTGGTCTGTTCTCCCGGACTTACATGACAGTGATCATTTCCCAATCATTCTTACTTCCCCTTCATATTCGCCACCTCTTCGCACCCACGCTGGCAATTTAATCGGGCAAATTGGAACCTTTACTCACACCTGACTGTTTTTAAAGAGGTTCCTTCTTCGTCCTCCATCGATGAGCTTTTACACCTCTTCTCGTCCTCCGTTTTCACCGCAGCTTCTCATTCTATACCCCAAACTTCGGGCAGGCATTCTCAGAAATGCGTGCCTTGGTGGTCTCCTGCTTGTGCTCGTGCAGTACGTTTGAAACGCGCTGCATGGGGCAGGTACCGGTACAATAGAACCACAGAGCGACTCCTTGATTTTAAACAGAAGCGTGCGATCGCTCGCCGTGTCATCCGTGACGCTAAACGCACTTGCTGGCGAGATTATGTCTCCACCATCACCTCTGCTTCCTCTATGAGTGCAGTCTGGAAAAAAGTACGAAAACTGAGTGGTAAATATTCTCCTGACCCGGCTCCTGTTCTGCGGGTTGCCGGTGTTGATATAGCAAACCCACTAGATGTTGCCAATGAAATTGGCAATCATCTGGTCCGTATTTCTCAGGGACTCCATCTATGCCCCTCATTTCTTTCCTCAAAGTCTGCCAGAGAGTTAGCACCTTTGGACTTTTCTTCTCTCAGAGAAGAACAGTATAATGTGCCTTTTACACTTCAAGAACTGGAGGCAACACTCTCAGGTTGTCGATCATCGGCAGCTGGGCCCGACGACATTCATATTCGTATGCTACAACATTTACATCAGTCAGCCCTTGCAGTCCTATTACGCCTTTACAATCTTATTTGGTCACAAGGAGTTCTTCCACAGCTGTGGAAATCCGCCATTGTTCTCCCTTTCCGCAAACCAGGCACTACGGGACATGAAACCTCCCACTATCGTCCCATTGCTCTTACCAGTGCAGTTTGCAAAGTAATGGAACGTCTAGTAAATAGACGTTTAGTGTGGTATTTAGAGACACACAACAGTCTCTCCACTCGTCAATTGGCTTTCGTAAGGGACGTTCTACCATAGACCCCTTACTGCGCTTGGATACGTATGTTCGTAATGCCTTTGCGAATAACCACTCAGTTATTGCCATATTTTTTGACCTTGAGAAGGCATATGACACAACTTGGAGGTATAATATTTTAGCCCAAGCCCACTCCTTAGGCCTTCGAGGCAATCTACCATCCTTCCTTAAGAACTTTTTAACTGACAGGCATTTCCGTGTTTGGGTTAATTAATGTGCTCTCCCCGGACTTTGTCCAAGCTGAAGGTGTCCCCCAGGGATGTGTTCTGAGCACAACACTTTTTCTCCTTGCTATTAATGATTTGCCTCTAGTCTTCCATCAAATATTTGGTCATCACTCTATGTTGATGACTTCGCTATTGCCTGTGCAGGCGCTGACTGTCACCTCCTTACAGTTTCTCTCCAGCATGCAGTCGACCGTGTTTCCAATTGGGCCACCACACATGGGTTTAAATTTTCCAGCACTAAAACCCACCAAATCACTTTCACTAGACGCTCTGTCATCTCTGATCATCCTTTGTACCTCTATGGCTCACGTATCCCTGAACGTGATACAGTCAAGTTTCTGGGCCTCCTCTTTGATCGTAGGTTATCCTGGAAACCTCACATTACCTCTCTGAGGCAACTTGTCACAGCCGGCTGAACCTTCTTAAAACCCTTGCTCATCTTTCGTGGGGAGCTGATCGTCGAACCCTCCTTCACCTACATTCCACCCTTATTTTATCGAAACTTGATTATGGTGACCAGATCTATTCAGCGGCATCTCCTGCTACTCTCTCTAGCCTTAACCCCATTCATCACCAAGGATTACGTTTATGCCTTGGTGCTTTTCGCTCTTCCCCTGTCGAAAGCCTCTATGCAGAAGCGAACGTTCCATCCTTATCCGATCGCCGTGATGCCCATTGCCTGCGCTACTATGTACGCTCTCATGATCTCCGCAATCCTTCCATTTATAGAATGGTCACTGATATTAGTAGACATTCTTTATTTGTTCGCCGCCCTGCTTACTCCGTCCCTTCTCTCTTCGCCTTCATTCGCTCTTGTCTTCTCTTCAACTACCACCTTTCTATGTACATGTAGCATCTCACTTTTCCCTACCCCCCTGGGAAGTTCCAGCTGTTCGAGTCTGTTCTTTCTCCCTCCCTTGCTCGAAAGCCAACTGTCTACGGTCGCTTCCCGCTCTCTTTTTCTTGACCACTTTCACTCTCATTCTCATGCCATTGCTGTGTACACAGATGGCTCTAAGTCTTCTGACGGCGTAGGATTCGCAGCAGTGTTTCCGGACAGCGTCGTACAAGGGCATTTACTATCTTCAGCTAGTATTTTTACTGCTGAATTATATGCCATCCTTACAGCACTTATCCGTATTGCATCTATGCCTGTGTCATCATTTGTGGTTGTCTCAGACTCCCTTAGTGCTTTACAGGCTATACAAAAAATTTGATACACCTCACCCCTTAGTCCTCCGTATCCAACTTTGGCTACGCCGCATCTTTACTAAGCATAAAGATATTGTTTTTTGTTGGGTCCTGGTCATGTTGATGTACAGGGCAATGAACAGGCAGACACTGCTGCGCGGTCAGCAGTACATGACCTACCAGTTTCTTATAGAGGTATTCCATGTACGGACTATTTTGCTGTAATATCTTCCCACCTTCACACCCGTTGGCAACAACGTTGGTCTACTATGCTCGGCAACAAACTTCAGTCTATTAAACCGAGTATAGGTTACTGGCCGTCTTCTTATCACCAGTGTCGAGGTTGGGAGACTACTCTCTCCCGTCTTCGCATTGGCCATACTCGTCTTACTCATGGATATCTCATGGAGAGGCGTCTTGCTCCTCTCTGTGAGAATTGCCAAGCTCCATTATCAGTCAGCCACATTCTGTTGGACTGCCCACTTTATCAACGAGCACGCAGAATTTACCTCTGTCGTCGTCTTCGCCCCGCTGCTCTCTCTTTACCTTCCCTTCTCGCTGATGGACCCACCTTTCATCCGGACTCTCTCATTGACTTTTTGACAACGACTGACTTACTTCACAAATTCTGATACTTTCAGCCCTTTCTACTTGTATCTCTTGCTACCCTCTACCCCCGTACTATCCCCTGCCCCGCTGTTTTCTGTAACCTGCTGATCATCCCCCCTCCCTTCTGCCATCCAATTCCCTTGCTTCCTTCCCTACCCTGCAGCGCTGTATAGCCCTTGTGGCTTAGCGCTTCTTTTTGATTATAATAATAATGGAGAATATAGAGAATTTTCACAGCATGTATAAGTACAATAATGCACCTAAATTACAGAGAACAGTTCAAGTCCCTTGATTTGTACTCCCTGGAATGAAGGAGAGAAAGACACATGATAATATACACTTGGAAAATCCTAGAGGGACTAGTCCCAAATCTGCACATGAAAATATATCCCTGCGAAAGCAAAAGACTTGGCAGAAGATGCAGCATTCCCCAATGAAAAGCAGGGTTACCACAAGTACATTTAGAGACAACACAATAAGTGTCAGGGGCCGAAGATTGTTCAATTGCTTCCCAGCCTACATAAGGGAGATTACTAATAGACCTCTGGCCATCTTCAAGAAGGCACTGAACAAGCACCTTAAGTCAGTTCCTGACCAGCTGGGCTGTGGCTCGTGCACGTGTGTGTGTGGCCAACAGTAACAGCCTGGATGATCAGGCACTGATCCACTGCAAGGCCTGGTCACAGACTGGGCCACAGGGGTGTTCACCCCCCAAAACCCCCTCCAGGTATACCATAATCCAATTTAATACATGCAGTGCTGATGTGTGCCAAGGACCTGCCATGGATAGTAGCAAACACTATATATAAGACCTATACATCCCTATTATAAAGTTTAACTGATAAATTATGCATAATAAGTGGAGAATTATCACTTTTTCACTGATGGAAAGCACTTCACAGCTTCTCTTAGACTTTCAAGAACTTCCACCATCGCTACTTTTGCATTCTGAGGCCATTATTAAACAAAATTAAGGGTTATTTTTGGGCCAGGGTAAACAGTGGATAACTGAAACTGTGGATATTGGACCCGCAAAAATGGGGGTCCTACTGTATGCATTAAAAAAAAATCCACCAAGGAATTAATCCATATTCATGAGGTGTGCTATCTAATTCTTCCACATTAGTGAGTTTCCCCAGAGTATATTTGCAATTCCCATTTTTTCTTCTCTTAGCTTCTGTCTTAAGGATTGTATAATACTTGAGAGATTATGAAAATATATTTGGAAATTTCTATATATATAAACCTTGGACTATAATACAGTACACTTCAAATATCAATAATAGGTTATGCCAAAGGAAAGTGATTCTGTAAACTCGAGGAGTTCTGCAGCTTCAATGTAATTGCCAAAAGAAGTCTTGCGGAAGCCTGAAATGTTGAATGAATTTAAAATCTTCATCCACTCTGGAAGTTTGTGCATTGACAATAAGGCCTCTTCAAGTTTGATTTTCAAGGCAGCTGAAATATAAGACAAGTATTTAATGTTTACATTATGGCACATTTATCATGAAGCAAAATATGATTCAAGTCATTGTATATAAAAGTGACTTAATAACCCTCTTGCATTTAAAAGGCCTTAAAGTTAACTATACATTATTAGATTATTATTATTATTATAATCAAAAAGAAGCGCTAAGCCACAAGGGCTATACAGCGCTGCAGGGTAGGGAAGGAAGCGAGGGTATTGGATGGCAGAAGGGAGGAGGGATGATCAGCAGGTTACAGAAAACAGCGGGGCAGGGGATAGTACGGGGGTAGAGGGTAGCAAGAGATTGAAGTAGAAAGGGCTGAAGGTATCAGAATTTGTGAAGTAAGTCAGTTGTTGTCAAAAAGTCAATGAGAGAGTCCGGATGAAAGGTGGGTCCATCAGCGAGAAGGGAAGGTAAAGAGAGAGCAGCGGAGCGAAGACGACGACAGAGGTAAATTCTGCATGCTCGTTGATAAAGTGGGCAGTCCAAAAGAATGTGGCTGACTGATAATGGAGCTTGGCAATTCTCAGAGAGAGGAGCAAGACGCCTCTCCATGAGATATCCATGAGTAAGACGAGTATGGCCAATGCGAAGACGGGAGAGAGTAGTCTCCTAACCTCGACACTTGTGATAAGAAGACGGCCAGTAACCTATACTCGGTTTAATTGATTGAAGTTTGTTGCCGAGCATAGTAGACCAACGTTGTTGCCAATGGGTGTGAAGGTGGGAAGATATTGCAGCAAAATAGTCCGTAAATGGAATACCTCTATAAGAGACTGGTAGGTCATGTACTGCTGACCGCGCAGCAGTGTCTGCCTGTTCATTGCCCTGTACGTCAACATGACCAGGGACCCAACAAAACACAATATCTTTATGCTTGGTAAAGATGTGGCGTAGCCAAAGTTGGGTACGGAGGACTAAGGGGTGAGGTGTATCAAATTTTTGTATAGCCTGTAAAGCACTAAGGGAGTCTGAGACAACCACAAATGATGACACAGGCATAGATGCAATACGGATAAGTGCTGTAAGGATGGCATATAATTCAGCAGTAAAAATACTAGCCGAAGATAGTAAATGCCCTTGTACGACGCTGTCCGGAAACACTGCTGCGAATCCTACGCCGTCAGAAGACTTAGAGCCATCTGTGTACACAGCAATGGCATGAGAATGAGAGTGAAAGTGGTCAAGAAAAAGAGAGCGGGAAGCGACCGTAGACAGTTGGGCTTTCGAGCAAGGGAGGGAGAAAGAACAGACTCGAACAGCTGGAACTTCCCAGGGGGTAGGGAAAAGTGAGATGCTACATGTACATAGAAAGGTGGTAGTTGAAGAGAAGACAAGAGCGAATGAAGGCGAAGAGAGAAGGGACGGAGTAAACAGGGGCGGCGAACAAATAAAGAATGTCTACTAATATCAGTGACCATTCTATAAATGGAAGGATTGCGGAGATCATGAGAGCGTACATAGTAGCGCAGGCAATGGCATCACGGCGATCGGATAAGGATGGAACGTTCGCTTCTGCATAGAGGCTCTCGACAGGGGAAAAGCGAAAAGCACCAAGGCATAAACGTAATCCTTGGTGATGAATGGGGTTAAGGCTAGAGAGAGTAGCAGGAGATGCCGCTGAATAGATCTGGTCACCATAATCAAGTTTCGATAAAATAAGGGTGGAATGTAGGCGAAGGAGGGTTCGACGATCAGCTCCCCATGAAAGATGAGCAAGGGTTTTAAGAAGGTTCAGCCGGCTGTGACAAGTTGCCTTCAGAGAGGTAATGTGAGGTTTCCAGGATAACCTACGATCAAAGAGAAGGCCCAGAAACTTGACTGTATCACGTTCAGGGATACGGGAGCCATAGAGGTACAAAGGATGATCGGAGATGACAGAGCATCTAGTGAAAGTAATTTGGTGGGTTTCAGTACTGGAAAATTTAAACCCACGTGTGGTGGCCCAATTGGAAACACGGTCGACTGCATGTTGGAGGGAAACTGTAATGAGGTGACAGTCAGCGCCTGCACAGGCAATAGCGAAGTCATCAACATAGAGTGATGACCAAATATTTGATGGAAGACTAGAGGCCAAATCATTAATAGCAAGGAGAAAAAGTGTTGTGCTCAGAACACATCCCTGGGGGACACCTTCAGCTTGGATAAAGTTCGGGGAGAGCACATTATTAACCCAAACACGGAAATGCCTGTCAGTTAAAAAGTTCTTAAGGAAGGATGGTAGATTGCCTCGAAGGCCTAAGGAGTGGGCTTGGGCTAAAATATTATACCTCCAAGTTGTGTCATATGCCTTCTCAAGGTCAAAAAATATGGCAATAACTGAGTGGTTATTCGCAAAGGCATTACGAACATACGTATCCAAGCGTAGTAAGGGGTCTATGGTAGAACGTCCCTTACGAAAGCCATATTGACGAGTGGAGAGACTGTTGTGTGTCTCTAAATACCACACTAAAAGTCTATTTACTAGGCGTTCCATTACTTTGCAAACTGCACTGGTAAGAGCAATGGGACGATAGTGGGAGGTTTCATGTCCCGTAGTGCCTGGTTTGCAGAAAGGGAGAACAATGGCGGATTTCCACAGCTGTGGAAGAACTCCTTGTGACCAAATAAGATTGTAAAGGCGTAATAGGACTGCAAGGGCTGACTGATGTAAATGTTGTAGCATACGAATATGAATGTCGTCGGGCCCAGCTGCTGATGATCGACAAGCTGAGAGTGTTGCCTCCAGTTCTTGAAGTGTAAAAGGCACATTATACTGTTCTTCTCTGAGAAAAGAAAAGTCCAAGGGTGCTAACTCTCTGGCAGACTTTGAGGAAAGAAATGAGGGGCATAGATGGAGTCCCTGAGAAATACGGACCAGATGATTGCCAATTTCATTGGCAACATCTAGTGGGTTTGCTATATCAACACCGGCAACCCGCAGAACAGGAGAATATTTACCACTCAGTTTTCGTACTTTTTTCCAGACTGCACTCATAGAGGAAGCAGAGGTGATGGTGGAGACAATCTCGCCAGCAAGTGCGTTTAGCGTCACGGATGACACGGCGAGCGATCGCACGCTTCTGTTTAAAATCAAGGAGTCTCTCTGTGGTTCTATTGTACCGGTACCTGCCCCATGCAGCGCGTTTCAAACGTACTGCACGAGCACAAGCAGGAGACCACCAAGGCACGCATTTCTGAGAATGCCTGCCCGAAGTTTGGGGTATAGAATGAGAAGCTGCGGTGAAAACGGAGGACGAGAAGAGGTGTAAAAGTTCATCAATGGAGGACGAAGAAGGAACCTCTTTAAAAACAGTTAGGTGTGAGTAAAGGTTCCAATTTGCCCGATTAAATTGCCAGCGTGGGGTGCGAAGAGGTGGCGAATATGAAGGGGAAGTAAGAATGATTGGGAAATGATCACTGTCATGTAAGTCCGGGAGAACAGACCAAGTGAAGTCTAATGGGGCGGAGGAAGAGCAGACTGAGAGATCGATGCAAGAGAGAGTATGAGTCCGAGGATCAAAATGGGTGTGAGTACCTGTATTTAAAACATGGAGGGGGTGGGTGGCAAGAAAAGCCTCTAACTGAATTCCACGGGAATCACAGTGAGACCCCCCCCCAGAGGAAATGGTGGGCATTAAAATCACCAAGTAACAGAATCGGTGGTGGTAATGACGAAACAAGGAAGGCAATATCCGGAATAGATAATGCCCGAGAAGGAGAGAGATATAAAGAACAGAGCGTATACCACCTATGCAAGTGGATACGGGCTGCTGTGTAATGCAGCGAAGTACGAACAAATAGCTGATGGTACGGAATATCGGTGCGTAGAAGAAGGGCACTTTCATTAAAGGTCCCATCAGGAAAAGGATCTGAATAATACAATGAATTATAGCCTGAGATAGGAGAGATAACAGCAGAGTGTAATTTTGGTTCCTGTAAGCAAACACCAACAGGGGAAAACTGGGAGAGTAACATCTGAAGCTCACCCCGATTACCCGAGGCCGCGTATATTCCACTGTAAATAGGCCATGATTGGCAATGATAAAGATACCTGAAATCCGCAGGTAAGGGTTCCTATGGACTAGTGGGGTTAGAAAAGTCCACATGCGGAGGCAGTGGAAAACGTTCAAGCAGCGAAGGAACGGTGCGCTGTGAAGAAAGGAGTTGCGCAGATGGAGTAGAGGAGAGAGAAGGAGCGGAGGGTGGATCAGTGTCCACTGATGGTTTGGTCTCTGCAATATATTCAGAGATTGCTTCAAGTGTTTCAGAATTCAGAGACGTCGTATGGGAGACAATATTGGAAATGGTAGGGGGAGGATGAGTAAAGATTGGAACTGTAATGGACTGTACCAAGGTGGGGGGGGGGGGGCGAAAGGGTGGAGGGAACTGGAGAAGTGTGGAAGGGGACAGAAGAGGCAGAAACCTGGGAGGTGGCAGAAGAGGAAGAAACTTGGGAGGGAACAGGGAAGGAAGGTACAGTACGAGGAGGGTGAACCTCTACACTTGTAACAGAGCCAGTGAGAGGGGGAGAACCAGGTACAGAGACAGGGAAGGGAAAATGAGGAGGTGGAAGATGGGTAGGAGGTGTTAACATACCTTTTTTTGACTTTTGAGAAGTAGAGGGACGATTGGGAGGAGGTGTCATACGAGATCTCGTCACTACTGAGGCTTGTGAGAGAGAACACGAAGAAGCAAGATCAGACTGAGACATTGAAGTAGGGACGTCTGAGCCGAGGACAGCAAAAGAATTAGCTACAGGAGTGACTATGGGAGAGGTAACCACAGAGGTGGGTGCAGAAGATGGGATACCAGAAGTGGGGGGGACGTTTTGAAACACGAGAATAAGAAACACGAGGTAGTCTCCCTTGGAGGCGGAGATGAGAAACTGCCATGGCATAAGGGAGACCTTCTGCCTCTTTGAGGTAATGGATTTCTCGCTCGTTTAAGTAGACTTGACAACGGCGAGAGTACGAAGGGTGAGCCTCATGACAATTAAGGCAAGAGGGAGGTCGATTGCAAGACGTATTAGAATGGTCATCGGCACCACAGACTGGGCATTCGGCGATAGATCTGCAATATTTCGCTGGATGGCCAAATCGGCAGCAATTTCTACACTGTTGCGGTGTAGGGATCACCTTTCGAACTTGTAACCGATGTCCTGCTACATAAACTGAGGATGGGAGTTCACGGCTGTCAAAAGTTAAAAGAGCCACATTGCTAGGGTATCGTCTCCGCCCGCGGGCAGGAAGAACGTAAGTGTCTACCTTGAGGATTGGGAGATCTTGGAGTTCCAGCTGTTCAAGAATGTCAGTGCCACATGTCTGGAAATTTTGTTGAACTATGGTATGGGGCAGAATGACGGTACCACTACAAGAATTGAGGGAATGATGCTTTTCAATAGTTACAGGAACAGTATCGATATGGGAAAGACGAGAAAGCTCATGAGCCTGGGTAGCATTCTGTACGGTGACAATGCGCGTACTGCTCTTAAGAGCATGAAAAGAAATATCTTTACCAACATGGCGTAGGAGTGCCTTGCCAATACTGTGGTCAGAAAGATAGGCAGTATAGGAAGTCGGTCGTAAAGTGAAGATTTTAGTCCATTGTGCAGTCTGAAACTGAGCGTGGAAAGGTAGTGAAGGACGTGTCAATCTTTTCTGAGAAGAACGAGAAGGTGGAGAAGTATCATCAGCAGGTAATTGTCATTGTCGTTTAGGCGTGGGACCAGAGTTGGTCCGACGTGGAACGGGCCGGCGATTCGAAAATTGCCGCACCGTAGAGGGAAAGGCCGGAAGCATAGTCAGAGGAGAGCGAAGGTCAGATAAATCAAAGGAGTCAGTTGAGGCCTCAGTACCTGAAGCGGGTGAGGAAACAGCACCGGCAAGAGGTACAGAGGCATGAGGAGTGTCCGAAGAGTGGTCCAAAGACGAGGCGGGGTCAGAACGGGGTGCGGTATCAAGAAGGGGCCCGGGGTAGCAGGTTCATGGACTAGGGCTGCCATGGTTAGGTTACTTCTTTCTTTTTGTTTTTAAGAAAAAAAAAGAAAAGAAAAAAAAAAAAAAAAAAAAAAAAAAAAAAAGAATAAAAAAAGGGGGGACCGGGGAGGGATAGTTCCTAGGAGGAATGAAAGGGCCAGAAATCTCCCTCCACGCCCAAGAGGACCTCAGCACCGCAAGTAGCGCAGATGCAGCATGGAACCCGTGCCATACCCTACCCATCATGCCAGTAAACCGGCAATCCGGGATAGCAACCTCACATCTGCCGAGCTACCTCGGTGGACAAAAGAGAGGGCGGCCGGAAATCCGCCACAAAGCATACCTCCTTCGGCCACCACCCCCGGAATCCGAAAGGTGGCTTCCAGAGATACACCCGTCGCCCGAGAGACACCCAAAGCCACCCTCCGGGATACCGGAGAGGGATCAGGACATCCCCAGGCAATCCAGATTCCACGGCAAACTATGCCACCACCAAGAACCTCAACGGAATGGGATGGACCCCGGTACCCTTTCCCCTACCTAGGAACTAGCATGCCTGTGGAAAAAAAAAAAAAAAAAGGAAGGGCAAAAGGAGGGAGGGGTGGGGAGGAGGAGGAAAGGAAAAAGGGGAGGAGGAAAGGAAAAAGGGGAGGATGGGATAGGGAACGGGGGATTGGGGGGTAATTAGGTTTGGTCTGAGGAAGTAGACCGACAGGTCTAATTCCTCAGACCAAGAGCCTCTTCACCACGCCAAGGAGCCCCCCTTGAAGAGGATGCATTAGAGAAAACAAAAATGGCAAAGTAAAATGGCTAGGATGTCCCCATAAATATATAATCAATAGTAAACAACAGAAGAATTTAAAATTTCATGTAAATATCCTTCAAGAGGGTGCCTTTATACTAAAAGGCTCTTGATTCAAGGAGTTGTAGCGATGATCTTTGAATCAAACCTGATTGCCTCTAATTTCCCAGGTGATACAAGGATCCTGCAGATTTAGTAGTCCCTCTTGAATATAATAATTGTAAAGAAAAGTATGTTCCTTTAACAGTGCAAATACTTAAGTCATACATAGGTCTTCTTGGCCTTTATTCAGTCATTAATTAAATTTAAGTGCTCTTGCTGCTGCACATTATTATACATAAATGCTAAACCTGATCGAGTTGTTCATTACTACAGCTGTAGCTTAGTATACTTTCCATTTAATTAATTTTAGACAATCATGACACTATTTACAAAGCATTAATCTCATATGGGCCACTCAAGGATGCATAAAAGAGATGCTTATAATAAAAGGACAAAAAAGCATAGATTGTTTTAGTTAAAAAATACAGTAGAACCCCTGTATCCACTGATTCCATATCTGTGGCTTCAGTTATCCACAATTTACTGTGGCTCAAAAATACCTCTTAATGACCCCAAAGTGCAAAAGTAGAGAAGCTGGTAGTTCTTTAAAGCACAAGAGAAGCTTCTCATCAGTGAAAAAGTAATAATTCTTCACTTATGCATAATTTATCAATTAATGTTTATAAGAGGTATGTACAGGACTTGTATACATGTATAGGGTTTGCTACTATCCATGATTCTGGTATCCACAGCAGGCCCTTGGAACAAATCCCCTGCAGATACAGGGTCCTACTGTATTAGAACTATTTGGTTTTTCTATACTAAATATCTTGATATCAATTTGATGCTATCATTACCAACTTGGTACTTTTACGATCAATTCATTCTATTACTGTCTTACGGTTGCTCCCCTTTCTATCTTGTTTATTTGAGTAAGCTTGAAATGCTCCAGGCATTTTCTTTCCAAAATTCATTGTAGTAATTACTAACAGCCTGGCTGGTCAAAATGGGTAGCAATTAATGGAAAGAGGATTAAGCCTCCACCCTTCCTAGTACACTAATTCGTCTTTTCAATATATGTTAATCTTCCCTAGTTATCCAAGACTTACTCATCAAGAATCATTAATTTTTTCTTTAGTTGACATAGTAACTGTACACTAGAATATTATTTAGAAAACAGAAGTTGATTAGTATATTTAGAAAATAGAATCTGATGTAGGCAAGCAAAGAGGCAAAATTACTTTGTGCCTAGCTACACCAATACATCATTAAAAACTAAAAAAGTAGTATTTCATAAATAAAGTAATTGACAGTGATAAAAATCAGCCTGACCTGGAAGTTTCGAGTTTACTAATATGGGATGGGGTGGAAGTGGACCCCACGACAATTCAAGAGACAGCTCTGGCTCATGGTAGTAATGGCGAGAGAGGTAGTTGGCCAGTGACAAAGAATCCACTGCAGTTGCTTCAGACTTTTTTGACACTACCATCTCGATGGAACGTTGGTGACTTCCAGAGACTGCAGAAATGATAAAACCAACCAATAAAAATTGAGGTCAAACTTCTGGACCTCTCAGAGGAGGTGCCTCGATTGTTAGGAGTTTTTGATCCAGGGAATGGGGCTTATCATCCCCTTCCTGGGATCAAACCAGTGTGTCTCCCATTCTTCAGGCACTATAAGACCCCTATTGATTTAGTGCTACCCCCTGAAAAAAATAACACTTCTGAAATAGTAACTGATTATGATTTTCAGAACATGTAAATACAGGGCATGACTATGTCCCAACACCACTTACCGAATTCTTGGTAAATTTACAGTAGTGGAATGGGTAGATTAGACTGCCATAATAAATGCTACTAGTAATTTGAAAGGAAGCCAACATACCAGGTAAATAATTAGAAAAGGCAAGTGTACACAGTATTCAAACAAAGAATAAAAGTTACAGTAGGTAATGAAGCATTAGGATGAGAGTGTAACAGTAACAAAATAATTAATTTTGAAACCCAAATTGTTCCTAGTACATATATTTGACAACAGAAATAAACTTGTTCATTTTTTTAACACACTGGCCATTTCCCACTGAGGCAGAGTGACCCAAAGAAAAAGAAGAAACTTTCATCATTCAACACTCACCATCACTCATACATAATCACTGTCTTTGCAGAGGCGATTAGATACGACAGTTTAGATGTCCCTCCAAAGGCCAATATCCCAAACCCCCTCCTTTAAAGTGCAGGCATTGTACTTCCCATTTCTAGAACTCAAGTCCAGCTAACCGGTTTCCCTGAATCCCTTCACAAAATATTACCCTGCTCACACTCCAACATCTTGTCAGGTCCCAAAATCCATTTGTCTCCATTCACTCCTATCCAACACACTCACGTGTGCTTGCTGGAAGTCCAAGTCTCTCGCCCACAAAACCCTCCTTTACCCCTTCCCTCTACTCATATTGCTGATAAAATAAGCATACATAAATAGAAAAAAGGTAGCAGCTACAGGAAGACCTAAGCAGAATATTAAAATGGTCCTGCAAATGGTAATGGGATAGGAGACTAGACCTGACTCACGAAATCTTAATGACAATTGGATGAATCTTATTGAAGCTAGCAGGCCCAGTGGCTAATGTGTCGGTCTGGAGTTTTGAGACTGATCACAAGTTCTAACCCCACCCGTGGTATGACTGCAGACCATATCATTTGGACGACGGAGTGGTGAGGAAAGGAAAACCATTACTCTAAACCTGTCCCATGAAGTAGGTTAAAAGTTTATTTATGCACTCCATACCCATCCTATGCACAAACAGAAATGCCATCAGTAGCCCATGCTAAGGTTGCAAACACTTCTTAAGAACATTACCTCATACAGGTGACCTGTTCTCAAGTATACAATACTAATAAACACTGAAAATAAGTCTAAAGAGCACATCTAGAATGGCATCCAAGTTGAAGGAATGAGCTTTACAGTAAAAAAGTTCCCAAATGAAAGAACGAGAAGGACTGGAAGCACTGCATACAAAATATACTGGGTATGTAGACTCTGAGACATGGATTGCTGTATGACCCTTGTGGGTTTAGTGCTTATGATTATAATAATAATTAGACGTGTATCTTTTTTTTCCCTGGGATGAATCGAGTACAAGAAGTCATTAGAAGTTGCATCTAAATGATTTTTTAGTTTTTCTGCTCTCTCAGCATGGCCTGTAGCCCAAATTCCTGCCTGATTTGCCAGGTTATTACTACGTGCATCTTGCAGACCCATGTATCTATCCTACCAAATCAAATTTTAGTTCCAAATTACAGGGTGTTGTTTAATCTCTGATATTACGTCATAATTTACATTTTAAGGGAAAATCCTTTATGTGAAGAATTTCAGACAGACCAAAACTAGTACATGTATAGTACAGTGGATCCTCGACCAATGATATTAATCTGTTCCTGAGAGCTCATCGTTAGTCGAAATTATCGTTAGTCGAGTTAATTTTCCCCATAAGAAATAATGGAAATCAAATTAATCCGTTCCTGACACCCCAAAGTATTGAAAAATAAATTTACCACATGAAATATTAATTTTAATACACACAAACTGAAGAAGACATGTACAATTGCATGACACTTACCTTTATTGAAGCTCTGGTGATGATTAATAGGATGGGAGGAGGGGAGAGTGTGGATGGTGTTAGTGTTTAGAAGGGGAATCCCCTGACATTAGGACTTGAGGTGTCAAGTCCTTTTCCGGGGTTACTTCCCTTCTTTTAACCCTTTGAGGGTTTTCGTCGTACTAGTACGTTTTACGCGTAGGGGTTTTTGACGTACTAGTACGCATAAATTCTAGCGGCCTCAAATCTCGCGCGAAAAGGCTGGTAGGCCTAGGTGTGAGAGAATGGGTCTGCGTGGTCGGTGTGCGCGGTAGAAAAAAAATCTGGGACCCAGTGGTGCATTGTGGGAATGCCCTCTTAGTAAACAATGTCCACCATGCCTCGCGGTAAGAAGCTCCTCACTCCTCGGCGAATTGGGACACTTTTGTTCCCCAGTGACAGTTCTAATAGTGATGGAAGTGCCAGTGAAGATGAGTTTCGTGGTTTTAGTGAGGTTCTGACCAAAACTAATGACCATAATATCGGTAATAGTGAAGAAAACCCAGACGACCCTCAGCCTTCCACCTCTGGTGCTGGGCCCTCGTGTTCACGTTCAGTTGTTCCAGAACCCAAGAGGAAACTTCTATTTTCCCAAATCCCAGACTCAGATGAGAGCATGGGTGATGATAGTGATAGTGAATATGAACTACAAGCTCTTCAACTAGTTCCAGTAGTGATAGTGAAGTGCAATATTCCCCAGTGAAGCGTCAGTATATACGACGATATATGCGCTCTGGAAGTGTGCCATATGCTATTCCAAGGGGAAGGAGTGTATCTCGGAGTACATCCCGTGGCTGTACAACAGGAACAGACAGTGAAAATGACGAAGATACTGTTGCAATTGGGATGGAAAATGTGCGTGGTGGTAGTGGTGCCGGCGGTGAGGCACCAGCAGTGGGCCATGCTGCCACCACGCTGCCACCCACGCCGCTGCCTCAGCTGATCTAGAACAAAGGCCACCATCCCCCACTCTCCCACCACACCAGCCTCCACAACCACCTGTCATTGTCCAGTACCCACCAGCAGACCGCACCTGGGATTGGCAGGAAGCTGTCAATTTTGTTCCAAATCCCCACCAGTTTGATGGCAGCCAAAGTGGAATACGGCCATCTTGTGCACTTGGGAACAATGCCACTGAACTGGAATGTTTCGAGTTATTCTTTGACGAACCACTGATGAAAAGTATTGTCATGGAAAGCAACACATACTATGAGTACACCATGGCAAACACATTACTTTCACCAAAATCACGTCTACACCAGTGGAAGGAGGCAACTGTGGCTGAGATGTATCTTTTCTTTGCCACAATAATGCTTATGCCACATGTGTATAAGCACAAAGTGAAATCATACTGGTCAACAGACCCCCTGATTGCAACACCAGGTTTCAGTGATATAATGCCAGTGAATCGATTTTGTGCTAATGTTACGTATGCTTCACTTCTCAGATAAAACCAGGCCTGACAGAACTGACAGGTTATATAAGATTAGGAATGTGTTTTGTGTATCTGAAACAGAAATTCAGTACGCATTTTTATCCCTTCAGGAAGCTTGTAATTGACGAGTCTTTGATTCTGTTCAAAGGAAGACTCTCTTTCAAGCAGTACATACCAAGCAAGAGGAAACGCTTTGGTATAAAGTTGTTTGTGCTTTGTGATTGTTACAGTGGTCTGGTATTGGATATTATTGTGTACACTGGAAGTTATACATTGCAAAATACCAGGAAGTTATTGGGCATCTCAGGTGATGTGGTTCGAACAATGATAGAACCATACCTTGGTAAGGGGCATATATTATATACAGATAACTGGTACACAAGCCCCTCACTCAGTGATTTTTTTGCGAGTGAACATGACAGATGTGTGTGGCACAGTGCGTGCAAATCGAAAACATATGCCCAGGTTTGACGCTGGCACTCGTAGAGGTGAGGTGCAGGCGTTTGCTGCCAATGACATCATGGCATTTCGGTGGCATGACAAACGAGATGTCACACTGTTGTCATCAATTCACCCTAATGAAATGGCAAACAGTGGCAGGCAGCATAGAGAGAGAAATGAACCCATTCTAAAACCTGCAGCTGTGATTGATTACACCTTCAACATGCATTCAGTGGACAAATGTGACATGCAGATTGGGTTTGCTGATTGTGTTCGCAAGAGTTATAAGTGGTACATCAAACTGTTTTTCCATCTTCTGGACATTTCCATGCTCAATGCTTATAATATGTATAAGATGAGCACCAGAAACAAACCACAGTACGGCGAATTCTGTTTGTCTGTCATCAGACAAATAGTATTCAAGTACCAAGGAACAGCACCTGCAATTGACCGCCCACCAAATTATCAACAACTACCTGCTCGTCTGAAGCATGGTGATCACTTCCTGGTAAAACTGCCTGCTACTGCTTTGAAGAAAAAGGCTCAGAAGAGGTGTTACGTCTGTGCACATACAAGAAAACGCCCACGACAACGCAGAGACACTCGTTTTATGTGTGAGGAGTGCAAAACTCCACTGTGCATGACACCATGTTTCAAAGAGTTCCACACGCTGCAGAACTTCTAGAAACATTCCCTGTGACTGTATATGTGTATATAAAATATAGAAAAATAGTAATAAACAACATTTCATATCGTTTGTTTGTGTAAATATTTTCTGTAAACAAAATAATGACAACAGTGTTTACGCCCTTATTGTGTAGTATTGAAAAAGAAATAACTTACAAAATACTGATCATGTTGGCCTCAGAGGCCATAAAAGTTACTCAGAAAAAGAAAAATTGAAAAATAATTGAAAATAGTACATAAAAAAGTAAATAGAAAAATACCGGGTGACGGCAGTCGGCGATGTTACCATATGTTGTTCAATTTTGGCAAATTTCACACCTCCATATCTCGGTAAGTATTGACGTTAAAATTTTTTTGTTTAGCCTATAATGTTTAGAAAAAAATACTCTATTTTTTCATAAGAAAAAATAATTTTTTTTTTTTTGAAATTTGGCCGACCCTGAGAACGAGTTTCGGAGAGGGCCTGTCGACCCTCAAAGGGTTAATGCCACTAGGACCAGCTTGAGAGTCACTGGACCTCTGTCACACAACATATCTGTCCATAGAGGCCTGTACCTCCCATTCCTTTATGACATTCCTAAAGTGTTTCACAACATTGTCAGTGTAATAGTCACCAGCATGGCTTGCAATAGCTGTGTGAGGGTGATTTTCATCAAAAAAGGTTTGCACTTTAAGCCACATTGCACACATTTCCTTAATCTTTGAAGTAGACAACTTCTTCAATTTCTCTATCTCCTCCTCCAGAGCAGTTTCCTCAGGTCTGGCCTCTTGCTGTTGAAGATGATCTTGCAGCTCATCAGTGGTTAGTTCTTCATTGTTGTCCTCCACCAACTCTTCCACATCCTCCCCGCTAACCTCCAACCCTAAGGACTTCCCCAATGCCCCAACTGATTCCACAACTGGCATAGGCTTCTCAGGGTTAGCCTCAAATCCTTCAAAATCCCTTTGGTCTACACATTCTGGCCACAGTTTCTTCCAAGCAGAGTTCAAGGTCCTCTTAGTCACTTCCTCCCAAGCCTTACCTATAATGTTTACACAATTGAGGATGCTAAAGTGATCTCTCCAAAACTCTCTTAGAGTCAATTGAGTTTCTGAGGTCACTACAAAGCACCTTTCAAACATAGCTTTTGTGTGTAGTTTTTGAAGTTTGCAATGACCTGGTAGTCCATGAGCTGCAGGAGAGGAGTGGTATTGGGAGGCAAAAACTTGACCTTGATGAAGCTCATGTCCCCAGAAAGTCGCTCTTGCAAGTCTGAAGGATGACCAGGAGCATTGTCTAATACCAGGAGGCACTTAAGGTCCAATTTATTTTCCAGGAGGTAATTTTTCACAGTGGGGGCAAATGCATGGTGTAACCAGTCTTTGAAAAAGTCCCTAGTGACCCATGCCTTACTGTTTGCCCTCCACAGCACAAACAAATTAGCCTTGAGGACATTGTTTTTCCTGAACACTCTGGGAGTTTCAGAGTGATACACCAATAAAGGCTTCACTTTGCAATCACCACTAGCATTAGCACACATCAACAGAGTAAGCCTGTCTTTCATAGGCTTATGTCATGGGAGTACCTTTTCCTCCTGAGTAATGTATGTAGGTCCTGCTTGGCATTTTCTTCCAAAACAGGCCTGTTTCGTCACAATTAAACACTTGTTCAGGTTTCAATTTTTCACTGTCTATGTACTCCTTGAATTCCTGCACATATTTTTCAGCTGCTTTGTGGTCCGAACTGGCAGCCTCACCATGCCTTATCACACTATGTATGCCACTACGATTCTTAAATCTCTCAAACCAACCTTTGCTGGCCTTAAATTCACTCACATCACCACTAGTTGCAGGCATTTTTCTAATTAAATCGTCATGCAACTTCCTAGCCTTTTCACATCTGATCGCTAGAGAGATGCTATCTCCTGCTATCTGTTTTTCGTTTATCCACACCAAGATACGATACTACGTGCCGCAAAATGCCCTTCTCACACTATACCACTCACTTATTTATCCATACCTCACCTATGCTATTTGTGCTTGGGGATCAACTGCAGCAACACACCTAAAGCCAATAATAACCCAACAAAAAGCTGCAATAAGAATAATCACTAAATCCCATCCCTGGCAACACCCCCCTCACTCTTCATAGATCTAAACTTACTCCCTGTTCAGTACATCCACACTTACTACTGTGCAGTCTACATCTACAGGACCTTAAACTCCAATATCAACCTTGACCTAAAATGCTTTCTTGATAGTTGTGACAGAACCCACAGGCATAACACCAGACACAAACATCTCTACGACATTCCCCCGTGTCCGACTAAACCTTTACAAAAATTCAATGTATGTCAAAGGTCCTAAAATCTGGAACACCCTACCTGAGAACTCTAGAACTGCAGACACATTCATCACCTTTAAAACTAACATTAGAAAACATCTTATCTCCCTGATACACCCCATCAACTAACTCCACGAATACCACCTAGTGGTTCACACTTACACTCACTCACCCATTTGACCATAAACAGAAATATTAATCTCAATCTTAAAATAATGAATCCTATGATACTCCAATATTGAAACTATGTACTGTGCCAAAACAAAGGCATTCACATTGCTAAACTCTCAAACTAGTATTTAGTCATTTAGCCATAATACCAACTTACCTCATAATTTGTAATATTTTAAAATAAAGAATTAAACTAAGTCTGCCCGAAATGCCTAGCCATGCTAGGCGTTCTAGTGGTACACTCTGTAATCATTATTTAACTACATGTAAACCACACAATAACCAAATTCTGTAAATTCAACATTGTAATCCTTATAGAGAATAAACTTTGAATTTGAATAACAGTCTCTCAACATCTATCACTTGCGATCTCAGTTTCGAAAACATAGTTGCACCTTTGGCAAGAACAGCTTCCTTGATTGCCGTTTTCTTGGCCACAATAGTAGCGATGGTTGATTGGGGTTTTGTGTACAACCTGGCCAGCTCGGAGACACGCACTCCACTTTCATACTTAGCAATTATCTCTTTCTTCATATCCATGGTAATTCTCACCCCTTTTTGCTGTAGGGTTGGCACTAGAAGCTTTCTTGGGGCCCATGGTGACTTATTTTGCAGGTGCAATCACTAAAAATGCTGTGATAATATGAAATGTTCCGATTGTATGTTTGGATGCGACCGTGGTGGCTGGCTGGTTTGTAAACACCGGCACCCACGCGACAAGTAGGACGTGCTCAGGCCACATGTGGACGCGTCTCGAACAGAATGAATCGCGTTGGTCGAGTTTTTTAGTGCTAGTCGAGGCAAAATATTTGCGTTTAAAATGTATCGCTAGTCAGATTTAACGTTATACGATGCTATCTTTGGTCGAGGGTCCACTGTACTTATGAATTATACCAGTACAGGAATAGTATTTAGATGAGGAATATAACATGTAATTTTAGTTTTGTGTGACAATTAAATGCAAATTATTTCTGTACACAAGGTGATTAGTTTAAAATGGAAAGGTAGCAAAGTAACAAATTTGTGGTACATATAAGATACACTTGACATATTAAATGTTTAAAATGGAAAGGTAGCAAAGTAACAAATTTGTGGTACATATAAGATACACTTGACATATTAAATGTTTATGACAGTTATATATAGATGTTTAATATTTCATTAAGCTATTGGGAGATAAAAATTTTATCCTCCAGGTAAGTTACTCCAAATTTTGAGTCCTTTGATATGCATGCAGCTTTTACTCAGGTTTACCAGTTCATATGGAATATCAGATTTATTTCTAATGTTATGCTTATGTGACATGTTGAAACTCTCCGACAATTTGTCTTAGCTCAGAGTTAATATTCATATCAAGTTTTCTGTATACAGTGGACCCCCGGTTAACGAACTTTTTTCATTCCAGTAGTATGTTCAGGTGCCAGTACTGACCAAATTTTTTCCCATAAGGAATATTGTGAAGTAGATTAGTCCATTTCAGACCCCCAAACATACACGTACAAATGCACTTACATAAATACACTTACATAATTGGTCGCATTTGGAGGTGATCGTTAAGCGGGGGTCCACTGTATGCACAGTATATTATGCAGATACTTAATACATTAGGCAGATTCAAATTTTTGAATAGTGAGAGGAATATATCTGCCATCTATGATGACCTATCAGTAAAGAGGCACCTATGAGTTAAGACTTGTTGGTTGAATCCTAGGGAAGGACCCCAATGAAAATACATAATACTCAACTTTACTGAATTAACATGGGTTACTAACCTAAAGAATTACTTATTTACTCTAAGATATTAGAATAAAGTTTTGAATAGACTACTAAAACTGAAGTACCTGCAGCTTAATGTGATGCAAGGCAAAAATCTTACCTTGTATATCAGAGAAGAAAGAAGCATCTTCTCCCATCTGCTTTAGTGCACGTAGCAGGAGTTTATTACTAAGAGAATCTTCATGTGAATACACAAATTTACATCCCCTCATGTCCAAAAATTCCTTCATTCTTTCTCTGAAAGTGATAATTACCAGTTTTTTTTTTTTTATTTATTTTGCATGCTTATAGTATTTACATCCTCACTTTAACCCGTAAACGGTCCAAACGTATATATACGTTTTTTCAACATTTGAAAGTATGTAAAAAAAGTAGATCTTTTTTTTTTTTGTTACATTTGAAAATATGTAAAAAAACGTAGATCTACTTTTGTAGCACTACACATGTGAACGTAGATCTGCTTGGACCGTTTATGGGTTAAATACTATAAGCATGCAAGTAGTTACTGCACTGGTGTAATCAAGTGATTACACCAGTGCATAACTACTTTACTTTGTTTGCAGTAGATAGCATATTATGGAATATGAAAGTGAAACATAATGAGCTTTTGTTTTCATCATGTAGCTATCAGAGTAGCAGCACATTGCAAATTTATCAAAATTTTCAAATAAAAATTCTCCAAGCAATTTTTTTTAAATTGTGAATAAACAGTATTTAAAGAAACAAGTGGTAATTTCAAAGGTTTAACATGAAAAGCCTTGTACATGTAGACCAGAATGAATTACAGCAAATGGATATGCTGAATGTTGAAGACAGAGTAAAACAACTAACGCTAAATTATGTTTATAAAATTGCTCACAATCAGTGGTCCCAATATCTTAGTGCTAATTTTGTTAAGGCTGGGAACCAATGCAATTATAGAACTAGGGGAAGGGAGAACAACTCTGCAGTACCTCGAGTTGGTGATCAGGCTTCAGATGCATTATTCTGTACAGCAATAAGAGTGGAACAGACTGCATGCACATGTCAAAGCCTGTCATAGCATGAGCCAGTTCAAGAAGAGAACCAAAATGTACCTTATGAATATAGCTACAGAAAGGGAGGAGAGTGATTTCTTATACATCTAACATATATACACTATATGTAATCTGATCCTATTTTTGTCGATGAAAAATAACTAAGTTTACCTCTCCCCTAGATTACCGGATTTCCCTGGAGAGATTTCCCGGGGGGTCAACCCCCCAGGGGCCCCGGGCCCTGGCCCGGGCCCCTGGGGGATCAGAGCCTAAAATCAACCAGGCTGTTTGCTGGTGCACGCAAACCAAACGAACGACCCAGCCCCGGCGGTGGGGGAACCAAACTTTGTGCTTGTCCGTGCCAGTTGAAGATGCCGGGGTCTTTTTGGTAATCCCCCTTATGTTGCTGGGGGGGCAGTTGAACCCCGGGGCCCCTGACACTTATTGTATGGTCCCAAAGTGCTAGTACCCCCCTGCTTTTCTTGGGGGGATGTTGCATGTCTCCCAAAGTCTTTTGTTTTCATATGAGTATTTTCGGTGAAAGTTTGGGTACTAGCCCTCTGGGATTTTCCAGTGTATATAATTGTCTCTCCCCCCGCCTGCTTTCCCCAGGGAAACAGGTTTGGGAAAATCTCAAGGCCCCCATAATTGAGGTGTTTTATCTCCGTTATGCTGCCGTGAAGGTTCTCTGTACATTTTCTGGGTCAGAAATTTTCCCCTGCCTTGAAGGTGCTGTTAGTGTGCAGCAATATTCCAGCCTAGATAGAACAAGTGACCTAAAAGTGTCATCATGGGCTTGGCCTCCCTAGTTTTGAAGGTTCTCATTATCCATCCTGTCATTTTTCTAGCAGATGCGATTGATACAATGTTATGGTCCTTGAAGGTAAAGATCCTCAGACATGATCATTTCCCAGGTCTTTGACGTTGGTGTTTCGCTCTATTTTGTGGCCAGAATTGTTTTGTACTCTGATGAAGATTTAATTTCCTCGTGTTTACCATATCGAGTAATTGAAATTTCTCATCGTTGAATTCATATTGTTTTCTGCAGCCCACTAAAAGATTTGGTTGATGTCCGCCTGGAGCCTTGCAGTGTCTGCAATGGAAGACACTGTCATGCAGATTCGGGTGTCATCTGAAAAGGGGAAGACACCGGTGCTGTGGCTGACTTCCTTGTCTATGCGGATATGAGGATGAGGAACAAGATGGGAGCGAGTACTGTGCCTTGGGAACAGAGCTTTTCACCGTAGCTGCCTCGGACTTTACTCTTTTGACGACTACTCTCTGTGTTCTGTTAGTGAGGAATTATAGATCCATCGACCGACTTTTCCTGTTATTCCTTTAGCACGCATTTTGTGTGCTATTACACAATGGTCACACTTGTCGAAGGCTTTTGCAAAGTCTGTATATATTACATGCATTTTTTTTGTCTTCAGTGCATTTAGGACCTTGTCGTAGTGATCCAATAGTTGAGACAGACAGGAGCGACCTGTTCTAACCCATGTTGCCCTGGGTTGTGAAACTGATGGGTTTCTGATGGGGGGTTTGATTTTTGCTTCTTAGGACCCTTTCAAGATTTTTATGATATGGGATGTTAGTGCTATCGGTCTGTGTTCTTTGCTGTTGCTTTACTGCCCCCCTTTGTAGAGTGGGGGCTATGTCTGTTGTTTTTAGTAACTGTGGGACGACCCCCGTGTCCCATGCTCCCCCTCCCTAGGATGGAAAAGGCTCGTGATAGGGGCTTCTTGCAGTTCTTGATGAACACGGAGTTCCATGAGTCTGGTCCTGGGGCAGAGTGCATGGGCATGTCTTTATCGCCTGTTCGAAGTCATTTGGTGTCAGGATAAAAATCGGATAGGCTTGTTGTTAACCAAATTTTGTGGCTCCCCATAAAAAATTCATTTTGTCTTCGACCTCAGTCCCGGTTAGCGGCTTGCTAAAAAACAGTATATTGGGACTTGAGTAGCTCACTCATTTCCTTGCTGTCATCTGGGGAGGACCCATTTGTTTAAGTAGGGGCCCCAAAACTGGACGTTGTTCTCGACTTGATTTGGCATAGGAGAAGAAATACTTTGGGTTTCTTTCGATTTCATTTATGGCTTTTAGTTCTTCCCGCGATTCCTGACTCCTATAAGATTCCTTTAGCTTAAGTTCGATGCTTGCTATTTCTCTGACCAGTGTCTCCCTACGCATTTCAGATATATTGACCTCTTTTAGCCGCTCTGTTATTCTTTTCCGTCGCCTGTAAAGGGAGCGCCTGTCTCTTTCTATTTTACATCTACCTCCTTTTTCTTAGAGGAATAAGCCTTGTGCATACATCGAGTGCCACCAAGTTAATCTGTTCTAGGCATAAGTTGGGGTCTGTGTTGCTTAGTATATCTTCCCAGCTCATATCGGTTAGGACTATGTTTTTGTTATTGAAGTTGAATTTGGTGAATGCTCCCTCGTGACTAGTCTCATTATGTCGGTCTGGGGCTCCACGCATACATGTCTGAACCTCAATTATGTTGTGATCTGAGTATATTGTTTTTGATATGGTGACATTTCTTATCAGATCATCATTGTTAGTGAAGATGAGGTCTAGTGTATTCTCCAGTCTAGTAGGCTCTATTATTTGCTGGTTTAAATTGAATTTTGTGCAGAGATTTAAAAGCTCGTGTGAGTGTGAGTTTTCATCAGAGCTGCCTCCTGGTGTTATTACTGCAACAATATTATTTGCTATATTCCTCCATTTTAGGTGCCTTAAGTTGAAATCCCCTGTTTTTAACTTTTAAATATAAATAAGATTTATCACAAGGACCCCAATGGAAATAAGTCACTGACTTTGTTTTTGGGGGTATCATAAGTTCTTTACACATATGGTGCTATGTATGATAATCTATATAACTGTATTTGTGTATACCTGAATAAACTTACTTAATATCTTTCCATGGTGAGGCTGTCATCCACTGCGAATGAAATTAATTTTCCCTTCTAAAAATAAGTCTTTGAATTACCACCCTACAAATATATTTAATCTAGCCCCATCAACAAAAACAAGAGGCTACAGTTGTAATCTGAGAAACAGTCACAAAGAATACAGCACTATGAAGTTTTTCATCGATAGAATGGAATAAAAAAAATGGTGGTGTGTGCTACAATCTCTGGAAATGTAAACAAACAATCCTCCTTGTTCCTCTGCAATTTTATTTTCCGTTTCCCCTAACAATTGATAATTCTAGCAAACACTAATATACTCACAGATGTATTTCTCCACAATTCTCATACTTTTGGCCTTTTTTTCCCCCCTTATGCAAGGAAATATATAATCTCTTCAATGATCCTTAACCCTTTCAGGGTCCACAGGCCCTCTCAGAGACTTGTTCTGAGGGTAACCAAATTTAAAAAAAAAAAAAAAAAAAAAAAATCTTATGAAAAGATAGAGAATCTTTTCCAGATCATAATGACACCAAAAGTATGAAATTTGATGGAAAATTTAACGGAATTATGCTCTCGCAAAGTTAGCGGTCTCGATGATGTTTACGCATCAGCGATTTTGCCCACTTTGAGCCCTATTTTCGGCCAATTCCAATGTACTAGTCGACAAAAATCATAACTATTTCGCTAGAACTTCATTTTTTCTATCGAATGAGTACAAGAAACCACCAATTTACTGATTTCAACTATCCAATACAGTGGTCAGAATTTAGCAATTTTGCCAATTTCACACAAATTTCAAAAGATGCCAGTTTCCAAACAGGGTCCAGATTAAACAAGACAGACATTTCTGGCACTAAAATAACATTTCCTCTGTTCATTAGTCACATTCCCAGGCCCCTCTTGCATTTCTTTTGCTTTCCACTTTGAATTTTTATACTCGCAAAAAAAATAAGATTTACTGTTATGCAGACTACTGCATTAGCGTAGAAATGGTATAAATAATATCGCCGCACTTGTGAAAGAATATCAGACTCACCAGTTGAAGTGTATTGGATGCTTAGCATGATTTGTTTACTTTTGAACTTTGGTAAAAATCGAGCATTTCTGCTAATTTGAGCTCAATTTCAAGGCACTTTTCATTGTAAAACCAGTCAAGATCATCTCAATTTCTGTAATATGTCTTCCATTCTATACAATGAGACCAGGAAAACTAGAATACAACACTAAATACCATATGAAAATATAGTGCAAAGTCGCTGTTTTAATTCAAAAACGGTCAAAGTTTTTTTTTTTCTCATTATGCACTGTGTGCTGCAGGATTTTTTTTATACTGCGCACACTGACCACATAGACCCATTCTTTCATATGTAGGCCTACCAGCTTTCTCTCACTAGATTTGAAGGCGCTAGAATTTATGCGTACTAGTACGTCATGGACACTGGCGCGTAAGCCGTACTAGTACGGCTGAAACCCTGAAAGGGTTAAAAGTTCCTCAAAATATTCTCGCCATCTACTCAATACCTCCATCTCCCCATCTACTAACTCACCTACTCTGTTTTTAACTGACAAATCCATTCATTCCCTAGGCTTTCTTAACTTGTTTAACTCACTCCAAAATTTTTTCTTATTTTCATTAAAATTTCTTGACAGCACCTCTCCCACTCTATCATCTGCTCTCCTTCTGCACTCTCACCACTCTTCACCTTTCTGCTCTTCTTTTGACACTTTGTAAAAACCTCTCATAAGCTACCTTTTTCTCTTTTATCACACCCTTTACTTCATCATTCCACCAATCACTCCTCTTTCCTCCTGCACCCACCCTCCTATAACCACAAACTTCTGCCCCACATTCTAATACTGCATTTTTAAAACTATTCCAACCCTCTTCAACCCCCCTCCCCCAACTACTCATACTTGCACTAGCCCACCTTTCTGCCAATAGTTGCTTATCTCACCCAAACTTCCCCCTCCCTTAGTTTATAACACTTTCACCTCTCACTTCTTGTTGCCATTTTCCTCTTGTCCCATCTACCTCTTACTCTAACTGTAGCTACAACTTTAATCACATAACTAAGCAAAAAATGTAAACTATCACAACATTTATATTACTGCTGCTTTACCCTCTTTTCAAATCTACCAAAACCTGCACTATTAGAGCAAAAATGGTTTTCAGTTCAAGTATACCTCAGAGCCTTTACTATTACAGATGTGCTCAAACATGTTTTAGGTACAATGGAAAGAGTATAAGGGGGTTGCAGTGTGTACTATAAGTACATATACATACAGCAATCCCCTTAAAAATTATTTTCAGAGGGCAGAAGACATTTAAGATAGGTGCCCCGTGGCCTGATTGCTTAAGCTCTCGCTTCACATGGCTAGGGTCTGCGTTCAATTCTCAGCAAGGGTAGAAACATTGGGCGTGTTTCTTACACCGGTTGTCTATGTTCACCATTAGTAAAATGCGTTCCTAGGAGTTAGTCGACTGGTGTGGGTCGCATCCTGGGACAAGGACCTAATCTCCCTGAAGTGCTCTGCATTTCGGGCAAATTACTAGTAGTAAGTACGTCACTGATGTCACCTAAGCCTGTATACAATGTACATGTACTTGTAGTAAATAAAGATATTATTATATTATTATTAATAGTAATGAATGATATACATACAGTACTCCACTATATTTTATCTCATATGAAACCTAATTGTCTGAGCAAATCTGTACTACAAAGTACGTAAATTCACAGTTTATAAGACACGCCTTATAAGCCTTGTTTTAGTTTCAACGGCTCGTAACTGGGAGCTACAGCCCACCCCACACCCTAAACTTATATCTCCCGTCACAGACCTTCAGTTAATAGGATGCAGGGTGGTTTTTGGAGACATTTTATGGAAAAAATGCATCTAATGAGCTGCGAAATATGGTAATTTGCAAACAGTAATTTTTAGGTCATAATTTAAAATATTTAACTGATTTGTACTGTGACATAATACATTTGCATCTACAATCTACATTAACCTGTGAATGCACAGGGATATTAGCTTTAAGACTCACTCAACATCCTTGTTGTACAACAATGTCTGCATAGTAGCCAAGCACATCACCCTTGACTGGATGCTTTGTTACAGCTCCTACTGGCAGTAAGTGGAACTGGGTTGTGCCACACTTAAAATTTTGGAGATAAGTACGTGTAGAGACAAAGGCTAGAAAGAGAGAAAATAGGCTATATGTAAAAAAAAATATTTAGCTAAACCAAAATTGAAAAGGTTTTTTTAACAAAATTATTAAAAGATATGTTTTAAATTTTTAATTTTACATAGCCATTGGCCTGGATAATTTTACTGCACCATCCTTTCATATGATTCATTGTCAAATGAACAAAGACATCTAAAAAAAAAAAAAAAAAATAAGGGTACTTTATGATTTCAGATGGAAGATGTTTGGAGTACTATTTTTCTAAATTTCTTTTTTTTTTTATACATTACAGTATGTACAGTAGAACCTTGTTTTTTCAGCCATAATCCATTCCAGAAGGTTGGCCTAAATTTGAAACTGCCTAAATTCGAAGTAATATTTCCCATAAGAATTAATGTAAATACAATTAATCCATTCCAGACACCCAAAAATATTCACAAAAAATATATTTTTTAAAAATTAATTATAGTTTTGCATACACAAAACAATGACAACTAAGTAAAATAAATTAAGAACATTTAAATCACTATTACATACCTTTACTGAAGACTCTTGTTGGCCTATGGAAGACAGGGAGGGCAGATTAATGTTTGGAAGGGGGGAATCCCCCTCCATAAGGATTTTAGGTAACAAGTCCCTCTCTGGGGTTACTTCCCTTCTTTGTCTTTTAATGCCAATAGGACCAGCTTGAGAGTCACTGGACCCCTGTCACACAAAATAACTGTCCAGAGTGCTCTGTTTCTGGCATCTCTAATATTTCCCTAAAATGGGACAAGGTTTTGTCAATGAACATGTTGCAGATATGGCATGTTTCAGTTTGGTCAGGGTGATATTTCAACAAAAGTTTACACCTCATTCCACTTTGCACAAATGTTCTTAATCACTGAAGAAGGCACATCCTTCCCTCTCTTCCTCCTCCTCCTCCTCTGAAGCAAGTTCCTCAGCTGTAGTCTGTTCCTGTTCAAGTTGGTGTTGCAGCTCTTCAATGGTTAACTCTTCCCTGTGGTCTTCCACCAACTCTTCCACATCCTCGCCACTCACATCTAATCCCATGGACTTCCCCAATGCCACAATAGATTCCGCAACAGGCAGAGGGTCGACAGGTTCAAGGTCAGCCTCAAACCTTTCAAAATCTTACTCGAGGACACAGTCTGGCCACAATTGTCTCCAAGAGGAGTTCAAAGTTCTGGAAGTCACTCCCTGCCAAGCCTTACCTATAAGGTTTATGCAGTTGTATATATTGAAGTGATTCCTCCAGAACTCTCTTAGGGTCAATTCAGTGTCCAAGGTCACTTCAAAGCACTTTTGAAACACTGCTTTTGTGTAGAGTGCTTTGAAGTTGGATATTACCTGCTGGTCCATGGGCTGGATGAGAGGAGTGGTGTTAGGAGGCAAGAACTTCACTGTTATAAAAAGGATGAGCAGGAGCATTGTCCATTACCAGGAGGCACTCAAGTGGCAATTTATTTTCCAGGAGGTATTTTTTCACACTCGGGCCAAACACTTCATGGACCCAGTCAATGGAAAGTTGCCTCGTGACCCATGCCTTATGATAGCTTTCCACATCACACAATTTACTCTTGATGACATTGTTTTCCTTGAACATTCTGGGATTTTCAGTGATACATGAGTAAAGGCTTCACTTTGAAATCCCCACTAGCTGTCTGTCTTCAAGCAGACACTGGACAGGCACCTAAAATCAGTACCTAACCAGGCAGGCTGTTGTTTGTGCGTTGGACTACATGTGGCTTGCAGTAACAGCCGGGTTGATCAGGCTCTGGTCTACCATGAGGGCTGGTCACAGACTGGGCCATGGGGGCATTGACCCCCAGAACTCTCTCCAAGTATACTCAAGGTATACTAGCATTAGCACAGAACAAAAAGAGTTAGCCTGTCTTTCATAGGCTTGTGTCCTGGCAGTGCCTTTTCCTCCTCCGTGATGTAGGACCTCTCTGGTATTTTCTTTCAAAAGTGGCCTGTTTTGTCACAAGTGAACACTTGTTGGCAGCATCACCATGCCTTAAAACACTGTGTATACCACAATGCTTCTTAAATCTCTCAAACCAGCCTCTGCTGCCCTTAAATTCACTATCATCACTAGTATCAGGCATTTTCTTTACGAGATCTGCCTTGCCTTTTCACAAATGATCGTCTCTGAAACGCCATCTCCTGCTAACTGTTTTTCCCTGATCCACAACAACTGCTACTTCACATCTTCATTTATTTGCGATCTCTTTCGTTAACATGCTTACCCCTTTTGCCACATCAGCTTCCTTGATTTGTTCTTTCTTTGCCAGGATAGAAGTGATTGCTGATTTGTTTTTACCACACATCCTGGCAAGCTGGAGCACCTGCACACCACTCGTATTTTTCTATTACTTCCTTCTTAAATTCCATTGTGTTTCTCACTTTCTTTACCAAAGGTACTTTACTAGGAACTTTCTTGGGGCCCATGGTGACTTATTTCAGTTGCACTTAATAAAAAAACACCAAAAACAATGGATTTTAAGGAACTGTTTGGATGAATGCGTGGGGTATATGCTCACTCGCTGACAGACAAAGGGAGACTAACTCGCCTACGTATGGCATCCCAGTGGGAAGAAGGCCGACACGTCTAATATGGCCGATATACGAGTCAACGGCCGAAATACGTAGCAAAATTTCTGCCAAAAAACCGGCCTAAATATGCATCGGTTGATAAACGCAGTGGTTGAAAAACGAGGTTCCACAGTATATCACTGTACATGTATCAAAATATTGTACACATGTAAAACCAGTTGGACACAAAGGTATAAAATATCGATATTGTTTAACAGACTAGCAGTTTGAAAATTTTTATTTACTATACGTAGTATCCAAACATAAATAACATTACATTACAGAAAACTTTGTCATACCTAGATCAATATGTTGGTGATCTCCTCGACTGATATCTGGCCCACATTTACGTGAATTATATAAAAGAGTAGTTTGTAACTTTAGCTCTCTTTCCAAATACTCTGCTATAAATTCATAGTATTCAACAGGGATAGAAGGGCACATGTATGTTGCCAGGCGCAGTAAGTTGGCTTCCATGATGAATCTGTACAAAGATAGTGAACACAGGCAGAAGTTAGCATTCAGAGATCTTAAACAATTGCTGCATTTGAATGTTTTAGTACATTTATACAGTAATATTGCACAATATTAAACACCACTGCCTTACCCATTATATTTAATAGCAAAGTTTTGACAAAAACTTTCATTAACTCTTACATTACATAATAGTCATCATAAGTCACTGACTTTTCTTGGTTTATCATAGGTAATTTACACATTACTATGTATGATTATTTGTGTAACTAAGTACCTGTACTTAAATAAACTTACTTAAGGTTACTGGTTTTCATAATTCCCTTAATCTAATTTCAATCAAATGACTCCTGTAAATAACAGACAAGTACCAGTTGCAATATCACTACTGTACCAAGAAGCAGGAAGGAGCTACCATTAAAATAACAAAATATTGATCACATAAGAATTAAGCTTCTCTCCTCTAGGTTGTCACTGCACAAAAGGTCTACAAGGGAGTGTCGCTGATTTATTGCAACGTAAGATACAGAACTAGATACAGTTATCTGTTTTCAGTCATTTTAGGGATACATACAGTATTTAGTATCATATAAAAAGTTCTCTTTCAAATACTCAAATTTAAGTTTGAGTATAACTGTTTAAGAAAACAAAAGGGAAAATAAGAGGAAACACTTGAATATATTTTAATTGATAACTTGATATTTAAACATTAGTACAGGCACTCAAAATATTCATTATTACAATGTAGACTATCATGCAGTCAACATAAGAATACGAATATACCAAATGAAAACAGCAATAACATGTATACTTTATTAACACAAGTTTGAGCACATCAATGTTCCCTAAAAAATGGGTGCCAACAATTTTTATCTGACAGGTTACCTTATTCAACATTTCATAGGTATTTAAAGCAGGTCACACTGAAGATTTTTATTCACAGCTACAAAAATGCTTAAATATGGCACACCCCTTGAAAGAATAACCCCTCAAGGAAGGTTCCTTGATGTTGGTGAGGGGCTCTTGATTTAGGGAATTGGATCTGTGCTCCAGTTCCCCGAATTAAGCCTGAATGCCTTCCACATCCCCCCCCCAGGCGCTGTATAATCCTCCGGGTTTAGCGCTTCCCCCTTGATTATAATAATAATAATAATTGAAAGAATAAATTATTCTAAAGTAGCCATAAGTCCTGAGAACAGATACCACTAAACGCCTATTACATTTATTGGCAATTAATTTATTCCTTAATATGTCCAATATTAGGTTAGTTTTGGTCATGGATATGGTTTTATGTTGTGCAAATGTAAGAATTCGTACCAAACCTAAACTAACCTAAAACCTAACCTTACTCCGCCAGCGGTAGATATGGGATTAGCGCGTCTTTTACGTTCAATGATTGGCCAGTCTGTTGAGTCGATATTAAACTCTTGACTGGCCCAGAGTCATGCTGCACTTCCCAAAATATTTACTTTTTCTTCCTATTAACTCCCAAAATAATTTGTACACGAAATAATTAATGACGGGATATACGTAACATACTAATATTTCATAAATAGAATGAAAATATAATATATATATATATATATATATATATATATATATATATATATATATATAAATATATATATATATATATATATATATATATATATATATATATATATATATATTATATATATATATATATATATATATATATATATATATATATATATATATATATATATATATATATATATAATATATATATATATATATATATAATATACTTACATAATTTTTAAAAGCCGATTCCATATTAACTAATTATATGTATGCCACCACGGTGTAAAATGTAGATAATCTGTAAATTAATTTTATAATCAAAAGAAGCGTAAGCCACGGGCATCAGCATATTAATAATAATTTTATACCAGGGAACGTTGTAAAAAGTTAAACAAAACTGAATCTTGTAAATATTCATATAAAAAAAGAACTTCTGAGCTACAAGGTTACAGATTATTCTGTACAAATAATCATGCAAGTTTAAAATTTTACCTGCAACTTTAGTAAATGCCAGATTAAACAAAATTGTAATAAACTTTAACATCAACCCAATAAATAATATCATGCTTTATCTGTGTTAAATTCTAAGGTACATATATAATTTAAATGTAAACCAAAAGGAGGAAATTATACTGAATAAACTTTAGTATGCAAGGGACGTAAATCAATTGTTAATTTAAATTCCCTTTATACATTCATCACACCCACATATCTTTAATAATAATGCGTTTACTACAACTATTGATATATTTAAAAGGACATAGATAAATTTAACTAGTTAAAAAAGGAGTAATACATATACACATACATTACATACTTAAGAAAGCAAGAGAAGAAGTACGTACAACCCGTCGACGACTTGTTCACAACTGTTGTAAATTTTCTTGATCTTCGCCACACTTGCCACCTCCACACTGCTGCCAACTCCCTCCATCATCCCTTCTTCTGCTAATATCTTATCTCATCATACCTGTATTGCTATATTATACAGCGAAAGAATTAAACTACATGTTCAACCAGTGCTCAAGATTCTTCGGCAGTTCCAATGAACAGCATTTCTTAACATATATATAAAAAAAAAATATCTGAAGCTGGTAATACTCAGCTGAGGGTTCATATTTGTTTGATTGTGTTCACAAGGCTTCAGCTTCAAAGAAAACATTTCATTTGGAGGCAAAGACCCCTCAAGGGAGGTTCCTTGACGCTCTTAAGGGGCTCTTGATCTAGTGAATTGGATCTGTGCTCTGGTTCCCTGAATTGGGTCTGAATACCTTCCATCTCCCCTCCCCCACATGCACTGTATAATCCTACGGGTTTAGCACTCCCCATGATTATAATAATCCGAGGCAAAGGGACTCCATATACTGCAGCGGACGTGGATCCTTATATATATATATATATATATATATATATATATATATATATATATAATGTGTTTGTGTGTGTGAGAGAGAAAGAGAGAGAGAGAGAGAGAGAGAGAGGAGAGAGAGAGAGAGAGAGAGAGAGAGAGAGAGAGAGACTGACAGACACAGAATAATTTTTATTATGTTAGATAACATCTACAAAATTTGTTTCATTTCATTAAATACACCAAACAAACTTCGTGTACAATATCCAGAAAATAGTTGGAGACGGTGTGTGTCAGCCGAATTTCAGGATGATGCCAGAGCGAGCAAACAATTTCTTTCTTTATAATAATTCAATACGTTATTATTTTATAAATTGCATCCTTATTATCTCGACTTGTCAATGGTGTCCTGGGATAATTGTGTGTGTGGGTGTGCGTCCTTGTGTGTATGCATATATTTGTACGCTCGTGTGCACATGTCCGTGCGTGCGCCCTCGTGTGTGTATGTGCGCGCGCGCGCTAGTGTGGGTGTATGATCCACTTAATATTTGTATTTATAACTCATTACAATTGTGACCAGGTGTGGACGTATCAGTGGTTCATTACTTTGTAATTTGCTCATGACTGTAACCATGTATAGGAGTGAAGCTGATTCATTACCTCTGTAACTTGCCGATCGACACCATGCCTAACCCTTCTAGGGTAGGGTAGGTGCCTGAGCCCGAGCCTTTAGCTCATAAGACTGTCATTCCCATTTGCCCCCTTGGGGCGGGGATGGCAGACCAGAGAGGCCTAGCTTGTGGCTAGGCCTGGGGACAGTTGGTCCCAAAGATGAGGAGGTACTTGTGCCTCCTCCCATGGGAGACTTAGGTCTCAGACACTCCCTAAAGAGGGAGCCAAGGCCGGGCCACCACTTGGAAAAGGCCCGGGCCGGGAGAATACCGGCTAATCTTTAATAATAAATAATGTAACTTGCCATGATTGTGACCAGATCTACCTGGAGTTCATTACCTTTGTAACTAGTTCAGCTATCATAACTTTGGGGTACAGTCACTGGACCCATTATGTACCTTTGCAATCTTTTGATTACCGCCCACAGGATGTGTATGGGGTGCATAATAAAGATATTAAACTAAAGTGTGTGTGTGTGTGTGTGTGTGTGTGTGTGTGTGTGTGTGTGTGTGAGTGACTCAATCAATATTTGCACCAATAACTCATTACAGTTGTGACCGGGTGTGGAAGTGTGAATTGCTCATTACTCTATAATTTGTTCATGATTGTAGCCATGTATAAACGTAAGTAACCATTCTACAGAATTCATTACCTTTGTAACTTGTGAGCTCATTACCTTTGTACCTAGTTCAGCTATCAAAACTTTGGGGGCCCAGTCCCTGGACCCATTACGTACCTCTGTAATCTGTAAATACCTTTGTAACTTGTCATGATTGTGACCAGACCTACCTGGAGTTCATTACCTTTGTAAATTGTGAGTTCATTACCTTTGTAAATTGTGAGTTCATTACCTTTGTAAATTGTGAGTTCATTACCTCTGTAACTTGCTCAGCTATCAAAACTTTGGAGTCCAGTCCCTGGACCAATTATGTACCTCTGTAATCTTTTGATTACCGCCCACAGGATGGGTATGGGGTGCATAATAAACATATTAAACTAATTACCTTGTGTTCGTGGGTCTGGTAGGAGTACCTTCGGCTCACGTATGAAGGGCCCTGGATGTCTACCTACCTGAGTTCGATCCCGGTACAAGTTGGGCAGGCATAGACGTGTTGATGGTTCACACTTACACTCACTCACCCATTTGACCATAAACAGAAATATTAATCTCAATCTTAAAATAATGAATCCTGTGATACTCCAATACTGAAACTATGTACTGTGCCAAAACAAAAGCATTCACATTGCTAAACTCACAAACTAGTATTTAGTCACTTAGCCATAATACCAACTTACCTCATAATTTGTAATATTTTAAAATTAAGAATTAAACTAAGTCTGCCCGAAATGCCTAGCCATGCTAGGCGTTCTAGTGGTACACTCTGTAATCATTATTTTACTATATGTAAACCACACAATAACCAAATTCTGTAAACTCAGCATTGTAATCCTTATAGAGAATAAACTTTGAATTTGAATTTGAATTGAATTACCTTTGTAACTTGTCATGATTGTGACCAGATCTACCTGGAGTTCATTACCTTTGTAACTTGTTCAGCTATCAAAACTTTGGGGCCCAGTCCCTGGACCCATTATGTACCTCTGTAATTTTTTGACTACCGCCAACAGGATGGGTGTGGAGTGCATAATAAACATATTAAACTAAATTTCCTTACATATTATGGAAAATTTAATTTACCTGGATGTAACTCATAAGATATATACCAGTAATTTTTTAAAAGTAACAAAGATAATTATACTTTATCA